AACAAAATGTGCAGTGAGTTAAATACAAATTCTGCCACAGGTTCAGCTATGTAAGGTGATGTAACAGGCTCACTAAATCTGTAGGTGAGTACCTTCAGGAGAACATAACAAAGTACTGTTCAACTTGGGTGAGGGTAATTGTTATTCTCCTGATGCTAACTGTTGACGACTGTTTTTTTTTACCTGACATAATATCTTGATTATTATGGGCACTTTTTTTCTGAAGCACGTCTCCAAAGCAAGAGAAATCTTTCATCACAATAAAGAAGGCTCAGTCTTTGGCACCAAGCAACCCCAGGTCCCCAGTAGTATTCTCCATAGTGGCTGCAAGCCTGTTGTGAGTCAGTGTGTAGTGACGTTACAGGCAGAGTCACCAACACTTGCCTTGGTAAAACTCCAGAAACTGCAATGAAATCAGTATGTCTTTTAAGGTGCCTGCTGGTGAATTAAAATAATTTGAAGTGGCAATTGAATGAAAGCAAAATTGCGTGCACAGAGCCTAAAATGAGTACGAGACCTCCGTTTTTATTTCTTCATGGTTTAGGCTGATTCTTGCTCCCCAAGATGTGACTATTTATAAACAACTTTATTTTCTTCTTACAACAGAGCAGTGCACAGTGCCCTCCACTGCTGACTCTCGTAAAGGGCACTTCCCTGCCTGGCACTTTGATGTTTCTTCAGATGCTTGTATTTCAGCTGCGGAGACTGGCCCAAACCTTTCTGGCTTGTGTAGTCCTGAGTCACACCTGATACGGAGCCACCCAAATGAAACATCAAATTGCCAAAGGGCATTGCAGGCTCCAATGGAAAGTCTGCTGCTAAATGAGTCATAAAAACCATGAATGGCTTGTGAATCCAGAAGTCAGACCAAAATTGAGGTCACCAACTTTGGCAACCTGTAATCAGAGGTTATAACTGGAAGTGCATGTAAAAGCATGGCATTTTTGCACAGTCATTTTCCATGTTTACCTATTGCACAGTGACCTACTTGCACCGTTTTTGCTCTCAAGGTAGCCTTTTGCACAGCAGCAGACAATCAAAGAAAAAAATTATTATAAAACTAAGAAAATGTGATGGATCTTCAGTGATTAGTGTCCTACCAGAAGCTGTTGTAATCTTTTTAATTTTAAACAGGCACTATTTCCAGCTGACCATGTCTGTTCTTAATTTTTGTGCTTTTAATATTGTTCTTTTGACAAGGCTCAGTCAGAAATTAATTTCTGTTAAATGATGCTTAAGGATTTCCTTGTAGAATAGAAGGACCGAGTTCTTTCTGACCCAGGAGCCCAGTACCCACCAAAAAAGCAGCAAACAGCTCAGTGAGTTTTTAAATCGCCTGTGGATCAGTTCCAAAGAGGGTGCGTGTGATGGGACATTAAGAGATGCTCTGGCTCCAAGGGCAACTGCCACAATCTCCTTTGAGTGGCTGTCTTCTCACGTGGACATTAAACTCCATAGGGGTCACACACTGTACGTTAATGATTCCCACAGATCCAGAGACGTTCGAGTCCTGCCCCGCTGGCAAGCACCACAGTGTTTATGGAGTTGAGGAGACAGGCATGTAACCCATCCCTAAAAATCCACCCAGATCGATTAATTAGATTTCTCTATGTCACTGCAATCTCAAGGAGGTAACAGACTAAATCTAATAATTAGTTGCTACAAAAAAAAAAGATACTCGGAAACACTGGAGCAGCTCCGTGAAGCCCGTCTCAAAAAATGTTCAGGAAGGCAGTTAATTGCTAGATGCATTTTTGAGGAGAGGTAAGCAGCATCGAACAGAAATCAATACCAACCGCCTCAAAAGTTCAGCAATTCCACTGGCAGAATCCTGTTCTGGGATGGACCCTCTTCTGAGAGAGCCAAACCTGCTGCTGGTGCCCAGGCAGAACCGGTGCCTCTGAGTCACACTATAAAGGCTTTTATTGGACCAAGACAGTAACATTACTTGTTGGCTTAAAAGTTGACTTTGCAAGCATTCAGGCTCCTGATACACTATAAATCAGTTTCAAAAATAAGCTTTGAAGATTTTAATGTCAACATGGTGAAAAGCTGTCTGCTTAAGATACATATTAAAGGATATGGCTTTACAGCGGCAACATAGGTTCCAGCTTTTCACTCGAGAGTGTCCCATTCAGGGCTACATTTGTCTTACCTCTTAGTTGGTATTTGCAGATCATCATGGATACAAGCCAGGAAGGAAAACATGATGCTCTTAGATCCAGTGACTTCAAGGCAGAGCAGGAGAAGGTGTTAATATTAAGGGTAATTTACTTACCATTTTTATCTCTTCTCCACTTTAAAAGGAGCTGGGCTAAACTATGATATTTTGGGCTGTGCGATAGTTCCTCACAGC